TTGACTACAACTACCAGAATTCTTCACTTTCTCTGTTTCTTATGCTAATTAGGGCAATTGTTATTTACACCCCACTGGGAATTCAAAATTTCAATAATCCCCCAAATGAGGGCTCTAGGCAACACCAAAAATGATACCCAAGACCACAAAGGCTTACAAACAGAAAATGCGTAGGAACGCCCCTGAAAAAATGTCAATCGAATTATGAAATCGGGTTCGCCCTTGGCTGCCCGGTTAGTAACAAGACCTAATATGATATTTTCTTTATCTTTTCGTTAGGAATATACAGTAGAATCATCTATCTTAACAGCACAGTTGACCAGATGCCTTAAAAAAAATTCAAGTCAAATCAATGAAGAAATTCGACGTAAAGTGACATCCAATTTAAGCCAATCAAAACCTGCTTTGATGAACATGGCAACGAAGCTAAAAAAAAAAAGACGCGAGGGAAGGCACACGAATGCAAGCATTGTGGCCAGCGGTTTGACCAGTTATCAGCTTACAAGGAGCAAGAACGAACTCACACAGGAGAGAAACGGTATACATGCAAGCATTGTAAAAAGAGCTTTCGCTGTTCATCACATTACAAGCAACATGAACGAACTCACACAGGAGAGAAGCCGTACACATGCAAGCATTGTAATAAGGACTTCAGCCGATCAACAACTTGCAAGCAACATGAACGAACTCACACAGGAGAGAAGCCGTATACATGCAAGCATTGTAAAAAATGCTTTACAAGCTCATCAACTTGCAAGCGACATGAACGAACTCATTCAGGTGAGAAGTCGTATACATCCAAGCATTGTTAAAAGTGCTTTATAATTAGCCGATTAGAAAGTTGCAAGGATCATGAACGAACCCATACAGGAGAGAAGCCGTATACACGTAAGTATTCTAAAAAGTGCTTTAGACAGTCATCACATATCAAGCAACATGAACGAACTCACACAGGATCGGAGTGAAGCCGTATAGGTGCAAGCATTGTTAAAAATGCTTTTCAACCTCATCACATTGCAAGCGACATGAACGAATTCACACAGGAGTGAAGCCATATAAATGCAAGCATTGTAAAAAGAGCTTTAGCCTATTAGAAAACTGCAAGCAACACAAACGAAACCATACAGGAGAGAAGCCGTATTCATGCAAGTATTGTACAAAGTGCTTTGCCCAATTAGGACATTGCAAGCAACGTGAACGAACCTACACAGGAGAGAAGCCGTATTCATGCAAGCATCGTCAGAAGTGCTTTTGCAGCGACATGAGCAGCATGGTCAATACCTAAAACTAAGAAGACATCTTCGGCAGCCAACAACACGGTGGCAAAAAGCCCTGTGTGTTGTTTTCTTCCGCTGACGAAAACGGCGATAAAAAACGATAAAAACGACGCTTATGCAAACCTTACCCTTTGCTTTTTCTTATCCTTGTTTATAATAATGTTGGTTATAAGTTAAGCACGACAATTTTTTGAAGCGCAAACTTAAGGTAGCAGTGACACGGTTGAAGAACATTGCAACTTTCCTATACCTACAGCAAACGAATCTTCTAGAGAAGAAGTCTCGTAAGTTTTTCCTTTTTGGCGGGAAACAATCGAATTTGAGTTAAAAGCTTTTATTAATCACTCTGTCTGTACAAAAAGCTTTTCAAGTTATAATAAGCTTAATGCACAAAGGTAGATAGAGCGGTTTTCATTTTAGTGTCGAAAGGTAGCTGGTTTTACATCAAGTACGCTACACGATTGGCTTAATAAACTCGCGCCACTTTTACTCTAACCAGAAAACAAAAGCCAATCGTGACCACTCGCCACGTTGTGTTTCGCTTTGCGTCAGTTACATTTAATTAATGTGTGTCATGAAGTTGACACCTTCGCGTGCATCTAACAATGAACGCCTCAGTATAACCTCAATAATACAGGGGCGGATCCAGGATTTTTTAACGGAGACGGGGGGGGGGGCTGGTACCTTGGGGTTGTATGTTCCCAAAATGTTGCAATTTGAGAATTGGAACGTAATTGAAAACTGTTTCACTAGGAATACTAGCAATGCCGCAAAGTAGAAATTACAATGAGGCACCAGTCCAGACAGTTTGCCTTTATTTCTGCCATAACATTCACAACCTATTTCAGTTCAATTTTTTTTATGTCTTGCTTCTCCAAAACGGGGTGACCCCGCCCCGGGGGTCCCCCCTAAAGCCGCCCCTGCAATATTAGTAAATGTAAAAGGTCTGTCGGAGAACAGGATTTTTTTCCTTATCTTTTATTTCACGCTGAAGCGAAAACTGTCAGATCAGACAGGTTTTTTGTTAGTTCTAGTGCAGAAAATGTGTATTCCAGCTAAACAATAAAGTTCACATCACATGGCTTAAGGGATGGACCAGCTGACTTTTCAGTGAAGGGGGCGGTGAGATATTTTGTGAAAAAATGTCGCGCAAAAATACTTGTACCAAAAGAATTCATGCACACGGCCACTGCCGAAAAAAAATTCACGCTCGCTCAGTGTTCCGGAAAAACTTCCCCCCAAAAAAACTCCTAGTGCATGAAAGGGGTAAAAAGTTCGTGCATGGACCAAATCACGTGTCCCCTCTAATGTCAAAAGGTCAACCCCTAAATGCCTTAGCTTAACCCGGTGTTTTGAACACGGAACGTGGTCCTATACCAACGTAATAAACTAAACTCGTCCCAGTATGGCATCTAATGTAGTAAGTCCATATCTCTGAGGTGCTCGCGTAGATGTTACATCTTTTCCCTCTAGCTTGGACCCCACAAGATACTCTTTTCCTATTTTCTCCTGGGCCCACAACAGAACTTTGTCAATAGTTGGCGTGTCCACTTGCACGATTTCTGCTATACCCCGGATCACTACCAGTCCATAAGGAACATCCTCGGTCAAATAACGATGAGCGAAATCTGGAACGAAAGAGTGGTCATCGGTTTCTTTCATGGGGTGTTTGAGCCCTTGATAGGCGGCGTTTGTACGAAAACAGGATCGCAAATTCGTGGTGTCGGAGATTTCATGAGAATAGAACTTGACAAGGAGATCATAGATGTGCGATACCTGAAAAAAATAAACCAAAGTTATCAAGACTGAGCTTGAATTATTGGTTGCTGATGAAGCATTTTGCCGTGTCCTAAGATTGGTTTTTTCAATGAACAAAATTGCATTGTTACGGTCACCTCGTTATTACGGCCACCTTTTTGTGTCCCGGTGAAACCTCGTTAATGCGGCCACCCATTACTGATACGGCCAACGGCTAAATTCTAAAATCTTAACCTGTATACTCCTTAATAATTTTACCCCGTTTGTACGGCCACTCAAACCAATTATGTCATATTTCCGTTGCTGATACAGTGGAACCTCCGGTAGCCTCCCACGCAGACGTTCTTAACCTTGTCACGCGTTCCTCCCCACATTCGTGGGGAGGAACGCGTGACAAGCCTAAGAACGTCTGCGTGGGAGGCTAAACCCCCGGTTGCGACCACCTATCCTCAGCGACCAGTTTTCCAAAATAACAAAAGTTTCCAAGTCAAATCACTATATTTGGAACCTCTTGTAAGCGACCACCTCTCGTAAGCGACCGCGACCACCTATAGAGCTGAAAGTTAGAAATTTTCTTTTGCTTTTAACCTCCCGTAAGCGACCACTTCACAGATAATGGAGCGAAAATTGGATAATAAGGGGTTGTAACATTCTTGCATTTCTGGGTAGTACCGGATTTTTTCTCGAAATTGACTTTTCGCATGAATAAAACATTTAACAATTTAAAGAAAAAATGCACAGGCACGGTATTCTATTAGTCTTAAAATACCATATAATAACGAGGCAAAATTTTGACCCAATATAGTCTAACCTCTGGTAAGCGACCACCTCCCGTAAGCGACCACCTAGGCTTGAAATTTTTGGTGGTCGCTTACGGGAGGTTTGACTGTAGTGTATATACTGATTGAAGTTTCATTTTTTGAAAAATAAAATATATTAATCTGAATTCCGATGCTTAGTATTAAAGAAAAGTTGTTTAGAAGTGCAAATGTGATATATCTGTTAACTCATTGTAAAGCGCTATTGGATAGTAATAGAAATAGCGCTATATTAATAAAGTATTATTATATATTATATTAAGACGTCAGTCAAGACCAGTCATGAAATTTGACCCTACCTCCTTAATACGGCCACCCCTTTAGTACCGCCAAATTCAGTTCGTGGCCCATTGGTGACCGTATTAACGGAGTTCCACGTACAAGACATTCTTTGGAAAAACGAATGAGGCCATGTAATTTCGCAGAAGTTTCATTGAAATTCTCAAAACACACCGTGAATTAAAATTCAGGTACCCCGTAAAAAATGTCCATAATTACCTGTGACGTGTCGACTCCAGACTTTTCGTTGACAACTTTGCTTAATTGCAACACCTCATCTGAAGCAGTAGAGAGGATGTCCGCTGCCAACTCGCTTAGTCCGGTATAAAACAGAGGCGGCTCACGCACAGGTGTACCGTCCCACCCCTCCCACTGCGCACACATGATTGACGGATGTGCATACGCGTTGGGGTTCATGAGTGTCATGCCAATTAGGTGCCCGGACACTTTCAACCGAGGGTGGTCCCCGATTAGACTCTGCAGGGTAGTGACGGGGTCTTTCTTTGGCGCTGCATCTCTTCCAATCTAAAGCAAATGAAAAAAGCAAAACAGTTTGTAGATAGCTACAGCAATTGCTCGAGCTGGTACAAATTGAGCATTAAGACTTGCTCTCAATTAACGTTACAGGGAATGCCATATGAAGACCGACGTAAACTATTCGACTGGCCGACTCTTACTGACCCTAGGATCTTTTTATCCTTAGCTGAGTGTTTTGACAGTTGAAATTTGATGATTTCTTTGAACGCGCCACAATAAAGTCAAACCTCAGTTGGAACGTGATTTGTACTCTATGTATAGATTAGGTAAAAAAAAAATTAATTCCTTGGAAACGGTCACCATTTAGTGAGGGAGGATCGTACTAAAATAAACAAGGGGCGGAATCAGTTAAGTGTTCATGTGTAGGTAGGAAGGTAAACTATAATTAAACACGCTTGCCCCGTCAACAAAACTCATTCCCCGTTCCTCCCATATGATAAACAACTGTCCGTCCCTTAATCAGCGTTTGCATACCTGCATTGCGCCAACCATTGACTCCTTGGTACCAAGAACATCACACTTCCTACCAAACTCTCCCAGGCGACAAGCCCAAGGCAGCGACTCAAAGTTCATTACCGTGCACATGTTCGCCTTATCTCCCAGGATTCCTCGCACCTGGAACTCCAGCCCCGAGGCCCCAGGCAGACCAACAATAATCACGCCTGACTCGATGTAAGGCTGGAGGGCCTCCAGGAACACCTGATGAGCAAACGCCGGTAACACGAACGCTATGACGTCAACACCACGCACAGCTTCTTCTGCGTTCTTAGTTATCAGAGCTGGCTTGGATCTGATCACGCTTGGCTCTTGATCACGACGGTGGCAGGTGATTTCTAAGTCAGTGGTTTCTAAAGCTTTACTCCAGCGTTCAGCCTCGTCTTGATACAAACTGAGTACTCTGACTTCAGTTCCCGGATGCGACGAGGCGATGCCAGCAAAGGCGTGTGCTCCATTGCCACTGCCGCAGATCAGAAGCTTGGTTCTATCTGAAGTATTCATGACTGTTTCGACGCCTTTAATCGTGTTATCTTTGGGACCTTTGCAGTATTAAAAAGAAAAATAATCCAGAATCTTTTAAAAACAAACAAACAAAAACAAATTTTTAAAGAACTAGGCACTTAACTTTATATTTGTTCTACCCTTACAATGTTATCTGTTTGCATTCAGCCCAGCATTTGTCATCTGAAGAATTATGTAAAATTAAAACTTAAACACCAACAAAACAAGAAAATCACGTCAGTAAATTTGTCTATATTCAATAATCAATATTTAAAACAAGTGGTGGATAATTAGGTACTTTGATAGTGAAGTGTAAATTAAGTACAATTAGCCACAATGTTTTTTTTTAGTTTTCATTCTCAGTCCCTCTTAAGGGACAGTTTCGTGAAATGATTAGCAGTGGATTTATTTGCTTTATGGCCTGATTGAGTAAAGTCAAATAGACGAGGTACTGACATGTACCTTGAATTATAGCTATTTTTTTCCATTTCTCTATCTAATTGTACCATGACTCATTTCTTGAATGTTTTGGCCTCAATTTAATACTTGCAAACGTTTAGCATAAATCCTTTTTACAAGTAAATAGTGATAGAATAAATGATCAAACTTGTCAAAAAAATAACAAGTGAAATTTCGAAACAAAGTGAGAGACGTAACGCAGTGTAATGTCGTGATTTTGAGATGCAAATTTCTTTGTACTTGTTTAGCCAAGGTTGAAACCTTGGCACATTTCAGATGCAATTTTTGTTTTAAAATTCTCGATGACTAAAATAACAAAGATAGAAGGAACATTCAGTGTACTCAAATGGATTCTCACGTGTCCAAAATTAAAAGTCAGAGTACTCCAAATACTCGTCTCAATGTTGTAATTTTTACCGAGCGAAGGAAAATTCGATCACGAATCGAAAAAACACTGAGGAGGTTTTACAGTTTTATGATTCCACTTGCACGAAATTTTAGGTTGTAGCACAGGATTATAATTAGTTCACAGGTCGTGAAATATTACATAACTTAAGTAAGCTTGCCGTCATCTACGAGCAATGTCTTGAGGATATTTCTCTTGCATGAGAACACTGAATCTCTGTTCATGAGATTACAGTTTTAATTCGGACGTTCGACCGATGCTGTGTCAGACTACCTCAAGCAAACGTGAATTATTAAAATAAATAGCAACGACGGACTCACCTTCCATAACTTATTGCTAAGATCGTAGGGGCATCTAGGCAAAGCAAACGAACGCGTCTTTAAAGCGAGACGGTATCACGGGATATTGTACACACAAATCACGCAAAATGTTCCTGTCACGTCGTCACGACAATTTGCACCCGTTATTGGTGTCATGTTTGCTACAGGAAGTGTCGCACAATTCTGAGTGATACATCTTTTCCGCCATAGCTCGCCATAATACAGGGAATTGCTGCCAAGAAAGCAAACACGGCTTGAAATACAATGTTGATTCATGCCTTGCTCAAAACCGTCAAAAACATTTGACTATATATTTATTCATCTGATGACTTCTCTGGGTCACACGATAAAAATACACTTATCCCACAGGTGATGAGCGTCCCTGTACGTACATGTAATAACATACTAAGGTTAGCAACAGTGGAAATATAAGGATTTGTATGGGAAAAAGGCTTATATACTTAAGCCTAAAACATACGAAGTAGTATGAATAAAGATACGTTGCTTCAGGTGTGTTTTCTTGCCGAGTTCTAGCAGCCCCCTAAATTCCCATAAATGGACCTCGAAACCTCTCGACGTCCCTATATCCAAGATCGTGCAAGTTAAAACACGCGACAATATTTGTACAAATTCCCTCCCAATCCTCCCACCCCTCCCAATTGGTGCTAAATCCCCCCCCCCCTGGGTCAAATGCTCGGGGTATGCCCAGAGTTGGGGGGTGGTGGTGATATTGATGTTTCTATTTGATTTTTTTCTCCAAAATTTCCACGTTTTCCCAACGTGGCGCGCGTGGTTAAGTTTTTTCGTTTGTGTGCGGGCATTAGCTCTTTTAACAACTTGAAGTACAGTTAAATTTGATTAAAATATGCACTGCATCAATAGGAAAATATTAAAAACCGTTTTTTCCTCATTTCCGGTCATTTGTTTTCAACTTCCGATAACTCGAACTGCTGATAGGTTCGAGTTATCGGGAGTCGACAAGGCAGGTCTAAGACAGTGTTTTGATATAAGGGTCAGGTCATAAATAGGGTAGGGAAAATCACAGATTTTGGTCATAAATAGAGCGAGGGTTTAGGAAGCGGGCCGCACATGCCCACCAAATTTTTCTGGGAGTAACCCCACCCCCGACAAACACACACCCGGGCAAAATATGGATAACGCGCGAATATTATCACGATACCAACTCGCGCGGGTAACGCGCGAGATGAATGAACGCTCCCAGCATTCTTTGCGACAAACGTTCAGCCATGTTGTTGAACTGCGAAAGCTGAACGAGGCTGAAAAAAGGCAGACTAAAAGGTTAATTTGTTCTTATTCATTGTGTATTTAGTACCTTTCCTTGTAGTGCTTTCATGCTTTGTTCGCATGGAGGACTTTCTCCTTATCAGTGTTCCAGTTGTATATTCAGGGAAGAACTGCGTTTGGAGTTGGAGAACTTTGTTGGCGAGCGATTGAACGAGATTGAACTCGGATTGCAGGTAAGCTTTTTGGACAAACAAAATATATTTGATTTATTTGCATTGTTTAACTATATTAGTATGTATTTCCTCCACTTTTGATCAGGTTCCAGCTTGCTTCTAAGTTAGCTTCGTTCTGCATGAAACATCGTCATGTATGTCCCCCGCC